ATAGATAGATAGATAGATAGATAGATAGATAGATAGATAGATAGATAGATATAGATATATATATATTGTTTTTGAATACTAAAATAAACTACTACTTACTACTTTTAGTACTATTCCTACTTCAGTTTTTCCACTTATCGCAAGGCTTCAGGGTACGGATCCCCCGTGATAAACGAGAGACTACCATACAGTAATCATAGTACAAATTAAAAACCTTGTTTTTTAAAAAAAAAGTTTTATTGTAGCCATTGAACCACAGTTGTACAAAATGTGTTTTCTACTGCAACATAACGTGTGATGAAATCAACACTAATAACTTTACTGATGAGCTTCCTGCCCAGGATGACAGAGGTTTTAATCTATCCATGAGTCTCTAAACTGAGCTTGCTGATAAAAAAAACAGCAACACTTAAAGCTGCTGACAATAACACAAGTGTTGTGTTGTCGACGACTCTCAACAACTTCTAAAGTAAATTTTTGCTCAGTGTCTGTAAAAACGGCTGAGTTAGAAGGACTTTTGTGTTTAGCTAAGGCTGATCAGTTGTGGCAGCCATCTTGAATTGGGTTGACACCAACAATCCATCAGCTATAGCTGTACAACCAGCGATTATTTCCTGAAAGCTTCATTAAAATGTGTCCAATGGTTTAAGAGACATGAGCCTTGATAGTCAAACTCACCTGGGGTTGACCTCTGACAGTGGAACGTTCAAACGAGCTGCAATGTCCTCAACGGTCTCGTTGCCCTCAGAGATGATGCCCACACCTTTAGCGATGGCCTTGGCTGTGATAGGATGGTCACCTGTGACCATGATAACCTGAGAGGAAGAGGAAATAAAACAACCTCAGCTCAGTGTTCTTAAGTTCACGAAGTCTCGTAGGGTTTTTGATTTTGACTATTTTAGAAACGCAGAAAGACCTTGATTCCAGCGCTCCTGCATTTGCCCACAGCGTCTGGCACGGCAGCACGAGGAGGGTCGATCATGGCCATGAGGCCGATGAAGCACAGCTTCTCAGTGGGGAAGTTCACCTCGTCTGTGTCAAAAGCAAAGCCCTCTGGGAACTGGTCATCAGGCAGGTGGAAATGGCAGAAACCTGATCGAGAAAAGAAGAACGACGTTTAGCAAGTCAACTCAAATACATTTATTCAGAGTATCCTGATGCATGCTCAATAATCCAGGTAGACAAATCCAACAGATGTAAAAACAAGCAGGTGTAAACATGAAACATCAGATTAAAATTTGTAAAACAGTAGATATATGCAAGGCCTTCCCTGAAAAAGAGGTCTGGAAAGGCACATGTAAATACTTTTTTGACTTGAAGCTTTCCAAATGTGCCATTTGCCAATGTCAGAGACACTAATGCACCCCCATACCACCAGAGAGGCAGGCTTTTGAAATGAGTGCTGATAACGGGCTCAATGGTCTCTTTCCGCTTTACTCTGAGGATGTAGAGTCATGTCTGCTTTGTCTGACCACAGAACAGTTGTCTACTTTGCCTCAGTCCATTTTAAACAGATTTTCACAGATTGCTAAACCTCCGCCCATCTTTACCTCTGAGAGACTCAACCTCTCCAAAATGTTCTTTTTATACACAGTCCACTTACTGACTTGTTGCCGTTTATTTTCTGTACTGCTAACTTCTACAGCCCCAACCTTTTTGAGTAAACTTCAATTTTACTTTATTATTTCCAGTACTTCAAGTATTTGATATGTAACGATGGTCCGCTGCGAATAAAACACGGATTTATGAGATTTGCTAATCATTATATATCGTTTATATTTTAAACATTACACAATGTCCCAACTTTTTCATAAATTATGTTGTAAAACTATCAGCTAAAATCTAAAGGATCTAGCACAGAGAAACAAGTGTGTTTGTACAACACAGGCAAATAATAAAAGCATAAACTACAGTTTAAGTATAAGCTCTACCAAAGAGGTAAGCCTTTTAGCTGAGCTTTAAACAAAGAGACCTGAGGAAAAGGGCTTACAAACTAAAGGCTCTACCTTACGGTTTCATTTGAGAGGTTCCTGGAACAAGAAGTAAACCTGCTGAGAGCTGGAAGTTCTTGTGAGACATTAAGGAGCTCTTGAAAATAACATGGTGCCAAGCCGTTCGTGTGATAACGTGACAAAAGGGATCTTTAAATGAGTTCTGAACATTAGTGGCAGCCAGTATAGTGATGTTTAACAGGGGAAATGTGTTCCCTTCGAGCAACACTTGTCAGTTCTATATGACATACCCAACACTCGCTCTCCAAGTCCTCCCAGCTCCACGTAGGCGTTCTGGAAGGAATCTTTCATTTCTTCGTCCAGAGGCTGCTCTTTGCCCGCCACCATGATAGTGGAGCAGCGGTCCAAAATCCTCTCCGGGGCTCCTTTCATCACCAGTATGTGCTTGGATTCTCCAGGAGTTGTGTTCTTATGGATGGAGAGCTAAGACAAGGGAAAACACAATTTGTCTTAATATTATTTGAAGCAAATGTAAAAATACAACCAAAACTAAGCCGCAGTTAATCTGCCTGAGCAAATGCGAAAACGGCTACAAATCAGGCCTTTGTACAGATATTGGTGTAAATTCTGGTCTACTGGTAAGTCCAAAGTTATTCTCAACTAGGCCTGTCGTAATAAACAATAAATCAATTAATTGCATGATGAATGAAAATTATCGACCTCATTTTCATTTACCGGCTTTATCGTTTCTTCGAGTCTCTCTCTTTCTACTGAAGACACTGGATGACAAAAAAAGCTCAACTCCGGTGCTCTTCACTGACCCCTCCCTTTCTCTTTTCTCATTAAAATCTGTTTTAATTGTCCAAAATTGCGTTTTTGGATCGTTAAAAGCAGCTAAGCTGAGAAGCTAAGCTACGAGCTAAGCTAACAGGCCGACCTCGGGAAAAAATCTCCGTCTTGTCGAGGCTCCAAAATTTACAGTTAAAACCCGTGCCTTTGTGTAAAAAGTTGTTTTTCTCTGCAAAAAGAAGCCGAGAACTTGTTTACTGATATTTTATTTAAAGCCTCTCATTGTTCTTAAAGAGACATGCTGCTCGCTCCCTCACTATCCATCCTTCAGTTCAAACAGTCTTATACTGCTATCAAGTGGTCAAAAAAGGTACTGCACACAAAAATTTACCAACATTTCTTCTTAAATTTGACAATAATGACTAAATATTGTCAAATTTCAAACAATATTATTGTTTATAACAATAATTTCTGGGACAATTAATCACCCAGAAAAATTTGTTATCGTGACAGGCCTATTCTCAACTTATACTCTGAGTACTAACTGATTGCCCATACTGTCCAAAAGTAAAGTTGAGACAATAATACATGCTTTCATAACATCCAGGCTCGATTACAGCAATGTGCTTCTTTTTGGAATCAGTCAGACCTTTAGTGCACGTTTACAACTGGTCCAAAATGCCACAGCCCAATTTTTAACTGGTACAGGCAAAAGAGAGCACATTATTCCAGTTTTGGCCTCCCTGTACTGGCTCCCAGTTCGCTTTCAAATTAATTTTAAAATCCTTCTGTATGTTTTTAAATCTCTGAACAGTTCTGGCCCCTCCCATCTTGCTGATCTGCTGCAGCCATACGTCCCACAGCGCTCTCTGAGGTCAGCAGACCAGATGTTTTTATTGGTTCCAGGAACTCGTTTTAAGCTCAGAGGTGACAGGGCCTTCTCTGTTGCAGGTCCAAAACTGTGGAATGACTTACACCGACTTACTCTCACCGTTTTTAAATCTCGTTTAAATCTCACTTTTATTCCCTGGCCTTTGACAATGTGTAAGTTGATTTGAACTTGTCTGTGTTCTATAATGTTAATCATTTAGTTCTTATCTTTACCTATTTGGATCTATGTATTTTATCCTGTGTTCTTTGCTTGTTTTCTTGGCGTTGTTGCCGTTTTCAATGCTTTATAAAAAAAAAGTTGTATGGTATGGTATGCACAAGATCTGTGTTGAAAACTTTGTCATTAACTATTAGAATCAACTCTGTCTCTTAGCAAAACATCTCATGAACCAGTTGAAATAATTTAACAAAACTTTCAGAAAGCAATCAATGGATCTACAGCAGATTAATTTCTGGGCTCAACTTGATTTACGATGGGCACCATAGCCAACTAACCTTAGAAACCACAAAAAATGGCTACAACTCTGCCAATTTCACAAACACTGAGCTCATATTTTACGTGGTAGTAGATGACAGTCATTCGCAACCCATAGCGCTAACAGATCATTCAAGAAGATCATGTGAATGTATGTTATTTTCAAGGCTTGAGTAGAAGAGGTACAACTCCATAATTTGTCACAATAATGTTAGTCTAAAACGCTGCAATGCCGGTGATGTGCATTCTTTCAAGGAATGCAAGACGTTTAATTTACCTGGTATTTGTTGGTGGAGTTGAAAGGAATCTCAGCAACTTTGGGGTATTTGTCTCTCATGTCCTTCACGGACCCGCAGCACAGCTCAATACACTTGAGCAAGGCAGCTTCTGAGGCGTCACCGGCCACGTCTCGCTGAGAGGTTTGAAGAAAAAGAGTCAGAACAGAAATTTCATCCAAGTCATTGATTATTTCACGTACTTTTAAAATAAAGAGCCTCTCCAGACACATTTAATTCCGTCATCATAGTTTGATCAAATGTACCGTCTACTATTTAATTTATGTATATCTAATAAGTCAGAGAGTCTGCTGTGCTCAAGTCTCAGCCATATAACTCTGAAAACATTTAATTATGCAGGATGCTTTTAATAAAGATTTTCTTGTAGAGTTTGGCAGCACTTGTAGTTTGTTAGATCCAAAAAATACTCCTCGCCAAGTGAAAATGCTACATCAATTCCTACAGTCACTTCCGAGTCTGTAAATTCATCTGTGTATGCAGTACTATCAAATTTAACTGGATGCTTTAAGGGGAAACATTTCTGCTTGGCCTGGTGGTTTCCGAACAAGATAAGAAACTAGAGCTCGTTTTCACCTTCAGAATGGGAATGTTGCTCTGCTCTGCCAGGAAGACGGCACGGTTGCAGAGTCCGGCGATTCTGGCCAGGGCCGCCCAGGTGGCGGAGCTTCTGTCGAAGGAGGTGCCGCTCTGGTTCTCCGTGGTGTCGGCCTCGTGGATCTGGTTGTCGAACCACATGTGGGCCACCGTCATCCTGTTCTGGGTCAGGGTGCCGGTCTTGTCTGAGCAGATGGTGGAGGTGGAGCCCAGCGTCTCTACAGCTTCCAGGTTCTTCACCAGGCAGTTCTTCTTGGCCATACGCTTGGCAGTCAGAGTCAGACACACCTGGAGGGGGATTTACTTGGGTCAGCTAACAGCTGAGACACATTCAGGAGCTTTAAGGGACATATAAAAACACCCAGACTCACAGTGACGGTAGCCAGGAGACCTTCTGGCACGTTGGCAACAATGATACCAATCAGGAAGATGACGGCCTCCAGCCACCCATATCCAAGGATAAGGGAAAGGATGAAGAAAGTAACACCCAGGAAGACTGCAACACCCGTGATGATGTGGATGAAATGCTCGATCTCGATGGCAATGGGAGTTTTGCCTCCTTCGAGACTGGAAGCCAAAGTGGCGATACGACCCATGACGGTACGGTCTCCAGTGTTGATGACGATACCTCTGGCAGTTCCTGAAAAGGAAAGAAATATATTTTTTAAGGGATAATGAAACCTAAACAATCTAATGCCACTTTTCATCAACTTTTCTTTTTTTCATCATTGAGTAAAAATTATTATAGATCATCTTTTGTGACACGTATGGCTGGATATACTGCCTGCTAAAACAATCTAATTCAATGTAAAACTGAGGGTTATATTTGCAGCTGCTTGTCCTGTACCTTCAACACAGTTGGTGGAGAAGAACGCAATGTTCCTGGTCTCCAAGGGGTTCTCGTTGGAGAAGTCTGGGGAACGGGTCTGAGGTTCAGATTCACCAGTCAGGGAGGAGTTGTCCACCTGAGAATGAAGACGATGCCATTGACTGATGAGGTAAGAGGTAGGACGTAAGATAAAGAATGATATGATATACTGAAGACAGTATAAACCAGAGAAATTGCATTTCTTGCGAAAATGCAGTGTGAATGCATATTGCTGAAGAACTTGCTGAAAAACAGCTGAAATTAGCTAAACACATGCTGAATTTTAGCTGAAAAGGAAGAACAAGCTTAAATTACTAGAAGAAAGTAGAAATAACACATATTTGCTGAATTAGATTTAAATAAGCAGAAATGAGCACAGAAATTATGAAATTAGCTAAAAAAAAAGGAAGCTGAAATTAGCAAAACAATAGCTCAAAAGTAGCTGAAAAGACAGAAAGAAGCTTAAACTACCAAAAGCAAGCAGAAAGAGCTGAAATGAACAAGAAAATGTGGAATTAGATGGAAAAAGCCAAAAATAGCATAAAACAGCTAAATAGTAGCTGAAATAGCAGAAAAAGCTGACACTTGCAGAAATCAGCTGAAAGGAGCAGAAAGAAATTTGCAGAAGCACAAAAATGTTGCAGTTAGCAGAAAGAATTAGAAAGGATAACAAAACTGATTCAATTAGCTGAAAGTATCTGGGGAAAAAAGTTTAAATTTGCACAAAGAAGCTGAACGGAAATGTGAAAGGAGCAGTAAAAGGCTGTAAACAGATCTAAAGATATGAAGGAGGTAAAATGAGATCAATTCATTTTCTATGGAGGGAAAAATTGGCAGAAAAGGCTAAATATTTCAAAAAGCTGAAGTTGCACCAATGTCAAAAGAGACAGCACCCTTCTCCCGAACGAGCCGAACGTTTTGATTATGATTTGTCGAAATAGCGCAAAAATTGTGGAATGAGAACGATGCCGAAAAACGCACAGAAGAAAAATGGATCACAACAGATACTTCATAAACATTCACACAATAAGAAAAATAAACAATGAAATCTACAACTGTTGTTTCAGAGCGCCTGCCAAACCTTGCAGCCATGAGCAGAGATGATCCTGAGGTCAGCAGGTATCCTGTCTCCTCCTTTCACCTCCACCAAATCTCCGGCTACCACTTCCTCTGCATTCAGACTCTTCTTCTCACCGTCACGGACAACCAGGGCTTGCTGTCAAATCAAGGATAAAAAGTAGGTTTGAGCGTTCAAGTAAAATTCATATTTTAATGAAACCAATGAACTGACTGTCTAATAGCATTAGGGATGCACAATATTGGATTTTTGGCCGATATCCGATATGTTAAAACTTATTTGGCCGATAACCGATACTGATATTTTTTACCTAGACTTACTTACAGAGACTACAAAGCTTTCTCTGCTGTGGAATTAAAATACTACATTATTCTGCATGGTCTTTGTCAGTTTAGCCTGCTACCAAATGCAGATGACAAAAAGGGGGCTGAAAATGATGCAACACTTCAACTTGGACTGTGTTTAATGTCAAATTTACTCATTTTCACAAACCTTAACTCAACCTGTTCACAAGCAACAAGTGAAAAGTGTATAAGTAGTAGTGCATTAATAGATATACTTGACAGCTTCTTAAATTAAAAATTAACTTTAAACAGAAGTCTTTTATATCGGTGAGTTATTTTGATGGAATGGCTGATGTCCAACATTTAACTTTATCGCTAATATCGGCCGATACCGATACCATGCCGATAATATTGTGCATCCCTTACTGTAAATGATGAAAAGCTTCACCTGTGGGACCAGATTCTTAAAGGACTCCATAATCTTGGAGCTCTTGGCTTCTTGGTAGTAGGAGAAGCAACCAGTGATGATGACGACAGCAGACAGCACAATACCCAAGTACAACTGCAGAGGGAGAGAACTGATTAGTTCATCTTTGGAGGTATCAAGAAATACCACTTTCCCGTCATGGAGCTTCTTACGTTGTCGTTTGCAGGTTCGTCCTCTGAGGCAGCCTGAATACTGTAAGCGAGGAAGCAGAGGATGGCACCGATCCACAGCAGCATGGAGAAACCACCAAACAGCTGGACACAAAATTCAATATTTAAACCTCTGACGGTTTCACTGCCTGCAGCAAAACCCACTTGAATTTACCATTTGAATATTAAAATTGTGGCACACCGACATTAAACCTTACCTGTTTGCAAAACTTCACCCACTCAGGCGTTGTGGGAGGAGGCGTCAAGGCATTTGGACCATCCCGGGCCAGAATCTCTTTTGCTCTGGAAGAGGAAAGACCCTACAAGGAAACAGAAGGTGAGGAGATTGTTGTTGCTGTTATCTTTGGCAGGCTGACAAGAAAAGACAGTAATAGTTGGGTTGAGGAAATATTTTTAGTTTTCCCTAATGCTGAAGAGAAAAACCTGAGGGATCAGGCTTTATCATGTCCTATAAACCTGTACTTGTTTATAAAAATTAAAAACCCATGATGAAAGACATAGATGTCACCAATTTTACTGACGAGTCTTATTTGGGTAAACACTTCTTGTACCTCAGGCGGCTGTTGCGGAAAGAAGGTCTTGTGAAAACGATGAGGAAGTTTACTCTGAGTTTATGGAAACTCTTGAGTTTAACGACCGGGAAAGAGAAATAAATGAGTCTGAAAGTCTAGTTTACAAAATAAACTAGCTCATTGGAATATCCTGATGCATGCTCAATAATCCAGGTAAAAAAAATCTAACAAAATTAAGTCAGGTCTTGTGGACGGATTAAAAAAAAATTGAAATGTTTCGTCTTTTATCCAAAATACGTCGTCAGCCTAAGGAGCTGCAATAAATTCAGTCTTGTAAATAGCACCTTCTCAAAGTGGATCAACCAGTTTGCTGGTGACATCCAGAACTAGCTGTTCACATGATATAGGAGGACCATCAGCCTAATGACTGATCGTTAGTGCCCTGATGGCTGCTTGCTATTCACAGAGTGACACTAGCAATAACAGCATTGTAAGAAGGCGACAATAGGACACGGAGGCCTCCACCTCTGTTTAATGATGACGGTTTCTTTTCACAAAGATGGCCTCCTTCACTCCTCTCTCAAACCATTGTTCCTCTCTATCAAGGGGGCCGAGATGGTGTAGAGTCCGAAAGTCCCGGATTCGACCCCCAGTCATTGCACATCTCGTTGTGTCTCTGAGCAGCACACCCTATCCCCAAGTGCTCCCCGGACACCTTCAATAGCTGCCCACTGCTCCACCTGGTGGTGGCTGGGTTAAATGCAGAAATCCAATTTCGCCATTGTATACGAACATGCAGTACAGTGATGACAATCCATAACACATTATTATTATTATCAAGGATGTGAACATCTTCATCCCTGAAATAGTGACCGCAGGCCTGCAGATGAATGTAGACCGCAGAGTCATGGCCTGATGATTATCTTAACATGTGATTTCTGTTTTTTTTCCCCCCTCCTAAAGAAAACCTGATGGCCTCCATCCTCCATCCATTGTGTGTCCATTTTCTCATTCCTGTCCTCTCAAACCCAGCCGGTCAAAGCAGATGTCCGCTTGTCCTGAGCCTGGATCTGCTGGAGGTTTGAGGGAGTTTTTCCTTTCCACTGTTGCCTTGAAGCTTGCTTAGGATGGGAGACTGCGATGAAGTGAAAACTCAAAGCAATCTGTTGGCTCCTTAGATAAATAACTGATTTTATATGTATGTGAATGTTTCATTTCTGTTGTGATTTGGCGCTATATAAATAAACTGAACCGAAGGATGGTTTGGATGTCAACAACAAACTGGCTGATCCACTTTGAGAAGGGGAGATTTATAAGAACGAGCACCTTGAATTGACAGTCTTTTGGATAAAATACGAAACGGTTCAACAAGTTTTTTTTTATTTGTTATCCGTCCAGAGGACCTGACTTAACTTTGTTAGATAGCTCACTGGAAAGTTTTCTATAAGAAACCCTGAGTTTCTACATGTCTCCTACCGCCGGAAGTCATAGATCATCCATGTTTAGTCAATCAAACAGATACGAATAAAATGTAAAATAATATCAACTTAAAGTTTACAGTTAAGAGGTTTTCAAATCTCCTTCGTGGAATACCCCCCACGAGGATTATCGTTGACAGGAAAACAAACGAAAGCCCAGCTATGGGAAGAAAGAGCGCGCTAATCTGAAAATGACAGCATCTTCTTATAATTATACATCTTGTGGCAAATAACAGACTGTGAGATCAGGGGAAGAAAGCATCATGTTGTTAGTGATGAGCAACGTGTACGCCAAGATGAGGTCACATTTTCTTACAGTATGTTTAAATGGAAAGAAATCCAAAGTGTTATTATTTTTCTGGCCCTGAGGAACGTCAACAAGACTCGTCTTCTTAAATTACGTATTTGTTTTAGAAACTATCATATAGGCTTCAGTTGAGCGCGTATCAGCCGAGTGTTTTTCTTTCTGTGCAGGTTGACATTTTAAAGTGCTACTTCACCAAAAGTACAAAACATTTTCCCATTTATTAGCCTTGTCAGTGCAGGGGGACTATGTTCTGATGACGCAAGGAAGTTCTCTTCCTGTACAGTACGTCTCTGGGCTTTTGACCTGAGCTTGAACTTTGAGATCTTTCTCCGTCTTCTGGCCTTATCTACCCTCCAAGCATGTGTGGAGCGCTCACCCTGGTTAAGTCCGTCCCGTATTTTTTGTGAAGTTCATCCATTGTCAGCTTGTGATCATCCTACGGAGAGAGAGAGAAAAAACAGAGAGAAAAAACAGAATGAGATTGACAGACTTTGCGTCAAACAAGCTGAAATCCCTGTCATTTTCAAGCCCCAGATATTATCTCCTCTGAGGATTAAAGAATGTGTTGGCGTGTGCTCCAGAGAAAGACAATAAAGAAAAAAAATAAAATCGCCCAGCTGATCAGGATTATTAAGCATGTAGGCCCACACAGTGACTTTAAGATTAGTCAAATGTTTGTGTACAACTAAAAAAAACCTGATGATTGAAAAGTAGTAGTCAAACACATGCGGCGGTGAGTTCAGTTATGTCGTCCAAACTGTCACTTTAATGCACGCAAAACCTCCATTCAGTCAGATCAGGTCAAGTTACAACACAGATGTTTGCTCCTTAAAGCAGTGGCTCCCAACCATGGTCCCTGAGGAACGCCATCCTGCATGTTTTAGTTGTTTCTCTGCTCCAACACATCTGATTCAATTATTTATTACTTCCCTGTGTTCTGCAGAAGCCTGTCAATCACCCATTTATTAAAAGCATGTGTGTCAGAGCAGAGAAACAATTAAAGCATGCAGGATGGTGTTCCTCAAGGACTAGGATTGGGAACCCCTTAGAGCCTAGAGCCTTAGAGTAATACCAGTACTCTGGTTTCTGACAGACTTCACCTGGCTGCATTTTCACACTTGCAGCTGAATACTACATGGTTATTAAATGCTCATATTCAAAAAGTTATCTTCCAGCAGCAATTGCTTTATTTACAAAGTTAATAGTGACGTTTAAAATGCTAACCTAACAACCTGAAAGGCTGACACATTCATGTGCCTACACACCATTTTATATTTAATAAAAAAAACACCTACAATGAGAAAAAAAAAAAATTCCAGTGTATTTTAGATGATGATCCCAAAAAGAGATGTTCTATAAAAACTGCACACAAAGCCTCACACAGCAAAACTACCTGTAAGTGAGCTGCAAAGGTGGCTTCATGTGGTATCTCACAGGGCTGCAGATGTTGGAGAGTGATCGGTGACTCCAAATTGAGGACAAATTGCAAGACAATGGACAAAATTCTCATTGCAGTTTCACTTAATTTTGAGAGTTTGCAACCAAGTGACCAGTGAGCTGGATTCTGAAGAGCCAGCTTTTGAAAATCCTAGCCTGTTTTTATTGGCACAGGTTGCAAAATCGTATACCGTACTTGGCCATGCGTATGACTTTGTTACCCCCAAAACCACGACATACCACTCAGCTTGGGGGCAGTTCTGGCAGTGTGGTTAGAGCAGACATACTCCTATGCAAAAGTTGGAGGTTCGATTCCACCAGCAGTCACATGCCGAAGTGTCTTTGGGCAAGACACTGAACCCCTCATTGCCTCCAATGTGTGTCCCATAAGTGTATGAATGTGATAAACACTGATCTTCATATAGATCTAGTAGAGTGCTGTATGACTGGGTAAATGAGGTCACAGATTGTAGTGTAAAGCACTTTCAGTATCTTGATAAGATAGAAAGGCGCTATATAAGTACAGTCCATTCCATCAAGAGAAAATGAGCTGTGCTCTCTCTTGCGGCTCCTAGTGCAGAACTTCCATAGAAAATAAGCTTGACCATCTGGGGATGTATTTCCATGAACAATCTGTCTAGTTTCTGAGTGAACTTTGATGAAACACTTGCATGGTTCTGTCTACCACCATCAACATGAAGAAAAATGATCAGCATGCCATGGGTGGCTGTGGCCGAGTGGTTAGAACAGACATACTCCATTGCAAGAGTTGGGGCTTCGATTCCACCAGCAGTCACATGCCGAAGTGTCCCTGGGCAAGACACTGAACCCCTCATTGCCTCCAATGTGTGTCCCATCAGTGTATGAATGTGATAAATCACTGATTATTCTTTTTAGAGACCTAGTAGAGTGCTGTATGAATGTGTAAATGAGGGCACAGATTGTAGGGGGCCGAGATGGGGTAGAGGCAAGGCAGCCGCCTCGGGACCCGAAAGTCCCAGGCTTGATCCCCAGCCATTCCCACATGTCGTGGTGTCTCTGAGCAAGACACCTAATTGCTCCCTGGGCGCTTACATAGCTGCCCACTGCTCCACCTGGATGCATACCAGGTGTGATGGGTTAAATGCAGAGAACTAATTTCGCCATTGTATGGGAACATACAATGATGACAACACAAAGCACTTATTTATTATTATTTATTATTTAGTGTAAAGCGCTTTGAGTATCTTGATAGGATAGAAAGGTGCTATATAAGTACAGTCCTTTTACCATTTACCAACAAATAAGGATGGATAATCTGTTATCACGCGCACAAAACTAGAGCTGCTGTTCACAACTCTATCGAAGCTTGTAGAGGACATTTACACACGTGCTTTCATATTGCAGACACATTTTGATCATGTTTGGATGGGGCTGTTTGATACAGACTCGAATGTGGCTTATTTTTAGCATTTTCTTTTAGACTTTGTCACATCTCATCAGATCACGGCTGCATGTTGTTGCTATGGGAATGGCTCTTATTGTTTTTAGCTGGACTTTGCTCACTGAGTTTTATTGTATAAAGGGGCAACAATGATTAACACGTCAGTTGTATTTTTTCTCTAAAGGCACTTTTTTTACTACCAGTATTCTACCACTCTCAATAGTCTTTGATTATTTATGTACAATTCAAGCTAAAGTTGCAGGTTCATCAACGCTTATCAGCCATCAATAATGATATTCATCCATTCATTATCTTTACAGGCTTCTTTCTTTCCGGGTCGCGGGGGTCACTCGTGCCTATATCCAGCAGTCACTGTGCAAGAGGCGGGTTACACCCTGGATTTATTCTTGATCATTTTTGAAACTTAAAAATATTCTACAGGCAAAAACCTCAATTTAGAAGCACATTTATAGACAGCGCTGCTAAACTGGAGGTGTCGCTGTGGATTGGCGATATGGTTGCTATGGCATTCAGATGTCCTTCGGCGGCGGCAGGACTTTGAGATCAAGTTAAGATGGTCAAAGGACAATAATCATTAATACGTCACCAAGATGTGAGTTTTATTACCTAAATAACTTTCAAAGCTATCAGCCTACTGAGTGACGTTGAATTGGATTGCTGCAAGATTTAAAAAAGTAAAGTTGCAATATAAAACTGTCAGTCTTTTAGCCAGTGTAACTAAATGTTTTAAAGTTAGTTTAGATCCAAGCTGAAGGCTGACTGACATGTATAAGACATATAAATTATCCACTTTACAAGCTTTTTTGTTGTCGTTTTTAAATAACTGAAAACTAACCCAGTAGAAAGACCTTAACATGACCTCTTGTTAAAGTTATTGGTAATCTGAGATGAAGGTGAGACTGGACTCCACCCTGCGAAATGACCTTGTGAAGGACACTACTGGGTGAACTCACTGAGTAGCTATTTGCCGTTTTGCAAAATCATTCCTATTTCAGTAAAAATAGCACTCAATCATCAAAATATAAACATTACGCATTTATAAATTGGAGCTACGAAATGATTCATCCTTTGTCATCGATATGGTCGTGAACTTAACCAAGTTCTTCTTTGACCTTGGTAAAATGACTTTGGCACTAACATAAAGCCTGACTAGAATGAAAATACACCAACTGCGTGCCCCGTTTTGATCTACACACCCATTTAAACCTGACTGCATCCAATTCTGTAGCTTTATAAGAATTTACAGTAAGTACATGCATGCGACAGCAAAGTATGTATATATGTTAGTAAGGCTGAAAACAGCTACAAGATAAAAGCAATCTAATAAATAAGTTAATACACATATACTGTTAGTAGAAGAATGGCACAGTCTACAGAATCCCAGCCAACATTTCAGCAATAAAATCTAACTCAGATCAACGTGCCTTGGAAGTTGATTACAGCTATGAACTCTAATGACATGTGTCTTGCATATGCTGCAGCGTCAGTAACAACCTGTATGAAACGTGAGGCAGACAGCTTCATCTCATGACTATCCATGAGCTTTGTCTTGGCCATGACTGTGTAATTGCTGCAAGCAGCAGTGGTGACAGAGTTGCATTGCTTCAGCTGAAGTGGAACTTAAGTTTGAAGCAAAGTTGAGGAAGGTACTTACCAATCATTTACATTGAGCACAAAAGAGAGAGGTATTTAAAAAGGGGCTTTTAAGTTCACTCACCAGGTCAACTTCTTTCTTAAGTTCGTCCATATCCTTCTTCTGTTTGCGTTTCTTGTTTTTCTTGCCATGATCTTCGGACGTCGCAGCCAGATGGTAATCTTCTTTTCCTTTCTGGGTTGAAGAAAGTGAAACGAAACAAGCCTCAGAATAAGACTGAACATGTGGGGAAGATTGCTCTGAGGCAAGGAAGCGCAGAGGACGCAGAGCCCTCTCTATCACTGTTCAAACATGCCACTTAAAAGGTGCGTTAATCATTGTCGCGAAAACATCGCAACGGAAAGCTTTTGATCAGAAAATTTCACCGTTTCTCACAGCAGATTTACAGAACAAGGCTTGAACATGGCAAACCACCACTGTACAACTCAACTCGCAGTTTGTTACTAAAGCCTAAACCAGACCAGATCATGTGACAAAGGTCCAATACTTACTCCAAACCCCATGATTGCAGTGCAAATCTGAGAGTGGTCAATCCAACTGTAGTTTTTTAATGCTTCCCCACTCCACCTCTTTCTTTCCACTCACACACACACACACACTCTCAGCCCTGCTGTCTTCCTCCTTCCAGAGCGGAGAAGATGCTTTGTTTGGCATTAGCATACCTTTATATCTACAGCTGGAAGCATACCTGCCCTTTGGGGGAGTGGCTAGGGGGAGGGAAGGCAAAACTCGACAGGTGAGTTGAAGGGTGTTCTATTCAAACATGGAGGTAAGGTTGGAGGAGAAACGCAAGCAAACGGGGACGAGTGAACTTTTCTCAACTTCATTGTACTGTTCATATCCTTGCGTTACTGTTCTACATCCTTTCTTTCGTCTTGAATCATAGTTTCACTTCGTCTTGAATCATAGTTTCACTTCTTTTGTTTCCAGTTTGTCACATTCACAGCTCCGGAAGCATGCCGGTGAAGCCCTGTGCGCACTATCTTAGCTTGCATGTGCTTCGTTTACACTGCAAACAGGGACGATCAGGAAAAAAAAAAAAAGAAGTCAAGATAGCGAAGCTGTGAATGTGAGATACACAGAGATAAAAATATAGTCAAAGAGGTGAAAGTCCATTTGTGGAGGCGACTGATGAACCCGACTGATTGTGTTTGAATAACCGAGAGAAAAGAAGGTGAGAAAAAACTGAAAACTGACTTTTTTCCCACGTGTTGAGTGAAAACAGCAGAACCAGGCTGGATAAAACTGTTATGGTACTCATCACAAAGATAACGTGGAATTTGGTGGGATTACTCCACTAAGCATTTAGCTAAGGTCATTGTGTCCTGCTACGTAAGAAGACATCAATTCTGAAGTCTTTTCCCCTCCACTATATATTGATAATGCCTAAAACCTGCCCATGGATTCCTTAAGGGTTAGTATTAATTAATACGTATTGGAAAAAAAAATCACGTTTAACTTGTTTTTCTGAGTTCGGATGTAACTTTAGTCAATCCAGCTGCTTTTTATTCAGTTTAGCTGCGACCGGAGGCCCCACCTGAGTGCTCTTGTGGTTAACAGAAATCTGAAGAAAGCCATAAAGTTTAACTGGGAAGGTTTTTAATGAATGATTAAGCAACATTATACTCCTGAGACGCTACACTACTACACTATGCCCTTGAACGGGCACAAAAAAAATCTGTTCACTGCCAAACAGAATGGTACCGAAAACCTAAAAGGTTAAAAAATATATATATTTGTAAGTATGCAACAGAAAAATACTTAAAGAAAATAGTCCTGTATTAGTTTTATGAACCTCGACTCAAGCACAATGTCAGACATACATAAGGTGGAACTGAAAGGACACTGGTGACCCTGAAGAAACTGAGAAGTGCTCTTCCTGTTCGCTGAAACACACACAGAGGAAGAATACCCTTGATGGCTGGGTGGTGGGGGCTGGGGCCGTTGTTTGGAGTAAACTCCCAACTGTTTGTACTCATTCAGCTATGAAGGAGTGTGGGAGGGGAGGGGAGGTGATGTAAAAATGAGGAGTGAATGGGAGGAATGCTGTGAGATAGCAGGAGGAATGAATGTAAAAAAAAAAATCTGAAAATGTTAGAACAAAAAGTGAATGAAAGCACTCTGTGCTGTGCATGCTGATTCAATATTTGCACCTTTTTTTGGTGCTGTAATTGTTATTTTTCCATTTTCCATATGTTTCTTTGCAACCCTACGTCGTACAACCTAACTGCATACTTTGTGCTATTATAATCATTCATGTCTCAAAATATTCAGCTCATTTATAAGATGGTGCCATAGCATTTGGTTTTTGAAACTTTTTAAAATATCTAACTTTATTAACTACCGGTAATGTTTTTCCCACAGAAACACATTAAGATCTTTTCAGTACAGTGATCCTTCACCTGTTACAGGGGTTACGTTCTAGAGACCCTGTCGCAGGTGAAAATCTGCGAAGTAGCAGCGTTATATTTATTACTTATATATGTTTAAGGCTACATAAACCCTACAAACCTTTCCCACTATCTTACCTTTCCCAATCTCTTATAAACACTTTGTATGCTCTTAGAAGATGATGACGATGAAATTCATGTACAGTACACACGATATTAAAAATCAGGTTTCAAAAACCCACGATACAGCGAAGCTGCAATAAGTGAACTGCGATGTAGTGGACGACTGTATCCGTTTTAGCGTACTTGTTCTGTTCTTGACTACTTTTGCTACTTTAAGTCTTTAGTCTTTAGCTGCTTTTAGCTATGCCATTGACATTTTTAGATTTTAGCAAGTATCTTACTATTTTAACTTCTAGCCAGGGTTCAATGCTTTAAGATAGCTTTTTGCTACTCTGATTTTAGCTAGCAAAATTATTATTTTGAGCTTTAGTAATGGGCGGCACAGTGGTGCAGTTGGTAGAGCTGTCGCCTTTCAGCGAGAAGGTCGCTCGATTGAATCCCGGCCAGGCACCTTTCTGGGTGGAGTTTGCATGTTCTCTCCGTGAATGCGTGGGTTTTCTCCGGGTATTCCGGTTTCCTCCCACAAACCAAAAACATGCATGTTTGTTGACAGGGTGGGAGTCGAAAACTTGCTAAAGAAATTGAAAGTAAAACTGGGTTTCTTTTTCAGAAATAGATCCTGTCTAACTCTGAATGCTAGGAAACGCATTGTAACTGCTACTTTCCTTCCCTCCATTGACTACGGTGACATCAATCGCAAGAACGCTCCTGCAAGCGCCCTGCAGATGTTTGACACTGTCTATCACGGTGTGTTAAGATTCATCACTGGCTGTAACTACCGTACCCATCACTGCACCCTGTATTCACTGGTCAACTGGACATCATTAACGTCACGCAGACTCTCTCACTGGTACATTTTCATCTTTAAATCACTTCTTGGTCTGCTGCCTTCATACATCTCCTACATGTCACTTTGTGAGTGCAGCTACAGCGTGCGCTCTCAGGACATAATTACTTGCAGTGTACCCTCAGTGCGGACCAAACTAGGCAAAAGGGCCTTCTCTTACTCTACTCCTGTAACCTGGAACACCTTGCAAAAAGTTCTGAAGCTCTTGACCTTGACCTCTCTAAGGGATTATAAACAACTGCTAAGTTCATGGCAAAAAACAGTGCAGACTTATCTTGTTTTCAGTATTTTACATCACTTTATAATGTAGATGCTTTTGTTTTGTTTATATATATATATATATATATATATATATATATATATATATATATATGATTGTCTATTGTTGTCTGTACCTCATCGGTGTTCTTTGTTAAAATCAGGTCTCTTGTAAATGAGTCCTTGTGGCTCAATGAGACTAACCTGTATAAATAAAGGTTGAATGAATGTTAGGCTGATTGGTAACTCTAAATTGTCCCTAGTTGTACCCATAATTGTGAGTGAGAGAATGAATGGTTAGTCTTGTTTGTCTCTTTGTGTCCCTGTGATGGACTGGAGACCTGTCCATGGTGTTCGACGCCTCTCACCCAGTGACAGCTGGATATGGGCCCAAATAACCCCCATGACCCAAAAAGGAAGCGGTGGGTAAATGATAAAGGATGGATGGCTTTTGCACCATTTTTTCCTTTTACCTTTTAGCTAGTGTTGTGATACTTTTAGTTTTTAGCTGTTGATCTGCTATATTTAGCATTAAGCTAGCCTTTGCTACAATTAACATTTAGCTAGTCATTTGCTACGTTTAGCCAGTCATTTGGTACTTTAGAGTCTAGCTACCCTTTTGATTTATTTTTTTTGCTACCCTTTGCTTCCAAAGCTTTTAAATACTGTCTTGCTACTTTTAAACTAGCATTTAGTTTTTTCTTTTTGCTTGTAATCAGCATCTCCTTTTAGCATTTGGCTAGTGTTCTGTTCCTTTTAGCTTTAATAACTCCGTTTGAGATTCTTCAGCAAAGTAATTTAGTTTTCACACTGCATTTTCACAGAAAACAGTTTTATTTATTTTTTGCTGCTGTTTCAACTGTACTTGTTGACCAAACTGAAATATGCTTCACAGCCAAAGTGCAGCCAACTCAAATTAAGCACATGTATACTTTTACCAAAGTCTAATGAAATTCACAATGGCACAAGAACACACCTATTTAATAATTATCATTTGCACTTTCACTTGTTGGTTTGTACTTAGGTATTGCAGTTTTTTTTTTTTTTTTTTTTT